CGCGCATGTCGTTCGCTCTCTCACCCTCGCCTTTTACGTATATCACGCCATGAAGGGAGAGATCGGCGCTCCCCCTCACGTGTACTATTCTGTCTCGGACGCTTCTCGCTTTCGTGCTTTAGCCATCCAGAGGCTTCGCGAGAGTTAGGCGAACTGGACTCTTCAGGGGACGTTCACTCCTCATTCTCGTCGCCGTCGCCGCCGTCGTTTTCCGAGGTTCTGGGATGGGCCTGCCGTTTTCCGGAGAAACGGCAGACAGCGCATATTACAACATTGTGGAGAAATACAAAGTAGGGAAAACAGCATTCAGACAATTTTACGGCATCAAATACTACGGCCGCTTCAAGGACGACATTTTCATGATCTTGGAACGTCGAGGGGTGAGGACAACCGATTTGTGGAAGGTTATGCGTGACAGAAGCTCTTTCTACACACACAAACTGGAGGGAACAAGCACTACAGGTGTATCGTTCTTGGACACCTTCGTACATAAGGGGAGCGGATGGCGAAAGTCAGGCCGGCTGGATTACCGACCGCACTTCAAGAGCACGTCCCTCAGCATCCCCTTGTCCTTCTCGTCCGCCCACCCTGTCTCGGTGCATTGCTCGTGGCCGAAAGCTGAAATTAGGCGCCTGGCCAGGCGCAGCAGCGACGCCGATGCATTCATACAAGCCCGTCACACATTCATAGCACGGCTGGAGAGGTACAATGCCCCACGATCGTTTTTGCATCACCTAGAGTCTCTTTTTCCTCCCATAGGTTGCCCCGCTCCTCGAACCCCGCGTACAGGCAGCGAGGAACGCCTGAAGCCAGCCTTCTGGTTGGTCCTCCCTTACCACCCCGTGTGGAAACAAGGGGGGCTTCAGGGCAGAGTGCAGGAATTCATAACATCAAGTTTGAGTCGAGATTTAATCTCTCAAGCTTTTCGGAATCAAGGGGTAGAAGTATCCGTGCGAGTGGCATGGAAACTGGACTCGAGACCTGTGTCGGCTCTGACCGCAGGGTAGAGCAAACAATTCATGGTTGGAGGTTGGGGACGGTTGGTGGAGCCAACAAAAAACAAGGAGCATTGCACATAGCATGTATTCGTAGCAGAAACGCCAGGCGATCCAGGCGCATCCCAAGATACAGATCAGCACAACGTTGTATCATAATTCTGTTGCGTGCCTCTCCGTATTAGCCGTTTTTGGCCCTGGGTGCTCACAGGCCCCAAGACCGGCGCCCCGAAGAGGCGCCCCCGCAGGTAGTTCCGCGGGCAGGGCGTGCAATTCAGCCTAGACGTTGCATTGGGAAAACCAGAGCGGCAGCGGCGACAACGACGACGAGGACGAGGACGAGGAGGGGGGCAGGACGAGGAGGGGGGCAAGTGTCACGGCGACGAAGACGACGACGACGACGACGACGACGACGACGACGACGACGACGACGACGACGGCGAGGATGCCGACGACGACGAACACGACGACGATGAGGACGACGACGACGACGACGAAAACGACGAAGACGACGACGAGGACGACCACAACGAAGACGACGACGATTTGAGGGTGAATGCGAGGAGGGGTAGGACGAAGACGAGAGCGACGAGGAGGACAACGACGAGCATCTTTACGGGGGGGCATTCTTTTTGGGCCTCCTTGGCCTCCTGGAGGGCCTTCGTCACAACGGCTAGATCTGCCCTGGATCCTGGTTGGAGCGAGCCTCGCAACGGGACCGGGGGATCTTCGTCGCTGTATTCCTCATCCTCTTCCTCCTCCTCCTCCTCCTCATTCTCGTCGCCGTCGCCGCCGTCGTTTTCCGAGGTTCTGGGATGGGCCTGCCGTTTTCTGGAGAAACGGCAGACAGCGCATATTACAACATTGTGGAGAAATGCAAAGTAGGGAAAACAGCATTCAGACAATTTTACGGCATCAAATACTACGGCCGCTTCAAGGACGACATTTTCATGATCTTGGAACGTCGAGGGGTGAGGACAACCGATTTGTGGAAGGTTATGCGTGACAGAAGCTCTTTCTACGCGCAAACTGGAGGGAACAAGCACTACAGGTGTATCGTTCTTGGACACCTTCGTACATAAGGGGAGCGGATGGCGAAAGTCAGGCCGGCTGGATTACCGACCGCACTTCAAGAGCACGTCCCTCAGCATCCCCTTGTCCTTCTCGTCCGCCCGCCCTGTCTCGGTGCATTGCTCGTGGCCGAAAGCTGAAATTAGGCGCCTGGCCAGGCGCAGCAGCGACGCCGATGCATTCATACAAGCCCGTCACACATTCATAGCACGGCTGGAGAGGTACAATGCCCCACGATCGTTTTTGCATCACCTAGAGTCTCTTTTTCCTCCCATAGGTTGCCCCGCTCCTCGAACCCCGCGTGCAGGCAGCGAGGAACGCCTGAAGCCAGCCTTCTGGTTGGTCCTCCCTTACCACCCCGTGTGGAAACAAGGGGGGCTTCAGGGCAGAGTGCAGGAATTCATAACATCAAGTTTGAGTCGAGATTTAATCTCTCGAGCTTTTCGGAATCAAGGGGTAGAAGTATCCGTGCGAGTGGCATGGGAACTGGACTCGAGACCTGTGTCGGCTCTGACCGCAGGGTAGAGCAAACAATTCATGGTTGGAGGTTGGGGACGGTTGGTAGAGCCAACAAAAAACAAGGAGCATTGCACATAGCATGTATTCGTAGCAGAAACGCCAGGCGATCCAGGCGCATCCCAAGATACAGATCAGCACAACATTGTATCATAATTCTGTTGCGTGCCTCTCCGTATTAGCCGTTTTTGGCCCTGGGTGCTCACAGGCCCCAAGACCGGCGCCCCGAAGAGGCGCCCCCGCAGGTAGTTCCGCGGGCAGGGCGTGCAATTCAGCCTAGACGTTGCATTGGGAAAACCAGAGCGGCAGCGGCGACAACGACGACGAGGACGAGGACGAGGAGGGGGGCAGGACGAGGAGGGGGGCAAGTGTCACGGCGACGAAGACGACGACGACGACGACGACGACGACGACGACGACGACGACGACGACGACGACGACGACGACGACGACGACGACGACGACGACGACGACGGCGAGGATGCCGACGACGACGAACACGACGACGATGAGGACGACGACGACGACGACGAAAACGACGAAGACGACGACGAGGACGACCACAACGAAGACGACGACGATTTGAGGGTGAATGCGAGGAGGGGTAGGACGAAGACGAGAGCGACGAGGAGGACAACGACGAGCATCTTTACGGGGGGGCATTTTTTTTGGGCCTCCTTGGCCTCCTGGAGGGCCTTCGTCACAACGGCTAGATCTGCCCTGGATCCTGGTTGGAGCGAGCCTCGCAACGGGACCGGGGGATCTTCGTCGCTGTATTCCTCATCCTCTTCCTCCTCCTCCTCCTCCTCATTCTCGTCGCCGTCGCCGCCGTCGTTTTCGTTGTTGCCGTGGCTGTCGTCGTTGTCGTCGTGGTCGTCGTCGTCGCCAGAGGAGGAGGAGGAGGAGGAGGAGGAGGAGGAGGAGGAGGAGGAGGAGGACGACGACGACGACGAGGAGGAGGAGGAGGAGGAGGAGGAGGAGGAGGAGGAGGAGGAGGGTGCCTGAGAGGGGAGCGGGGAGGAGGGTGGAGAATACGTAAGAAGCGATGGAGGGAGGAAGGGAGGAGAGACGAGGAGGAGGGAACAGGAGGTTTCCGAATGTTTCGGGATGCTTCTGGAGGGGGGACGAGGAGGAGGAGGAGCAGCAGCAGCATGCGTCACTGCAAAGGGGAATTATGGCCACCGAGCTCTCGTTGCCGCCAGGTCACGTTACTCCATTCCGTATTGATGAGGGCTCATTTGGTTGCCGCTCGGATTGTTTGCAAAGACAAGGGTTCGAGTGAGGATGGGACGCGAAGTCGACTTCAGGGCACCAGAGTAGAGGATGGGCGCCGCAAATGAGCAACAGCATTCTTGCAAAGGCAAGGGTCGAAGAGAGGATGGGACGGGCACCAGAGTAGAAGATGGGCGCCGCACATTGGCAGCGAAGGTAGAGCAAGAGCATAATCTCGTGGTGTCACGGGGGGGTCCCCCGAATCAATACGAAAGCAATCCGAAGGACAGAACATGCAAGCCGCCCAAGTGGTAGCGCGGGCTGGTATCCATCCGGCCTGGGTGGCTAGCTCGGCTGCAGAGAACGCAAGTTGACGAGGGGCACCTGTGCCTATAGACCTGTACATACCTATACCTGTATATATACATACACAAACACATACACATACACATAGATGCATATACATATATATATATATATATATATATATATATATATTTGTCTTTGACTGTTTTGTTCCGTGGCGGCGAGGCGGTCTCAGGCCAAAGGTCCGAGGGGGATCTTTGGGCGTCTCCATAGTCGCTCTGGTCCAAGCTCGCATGCACTGGCTTGCAGAGCAGCTCGGCGGGGTGGGTTCCGCTTTCGTCGGCGCGTACCTCGGCGCCTCCACCGCGAGCACCCATTGCTCGTGCCATTTCGAGTCCAGCCCCGTGGACGAGGGGCTCCTGACGATCCTGCGGGCGCAGCTGGACCGCTGCGGGCCCGAGCGGCTGCACGCCGCGGCGGCGCCTGTGTGCGCCCAGCCGGTGGGCGGCTTCTTGGTGGCGGCTGGTCTCGGGCTGCTGCTGGGCGTGAGCCTCACCCTGGGAGCGCAGGCCGCGCTCCGCCCGCAGGCCCCAGCCGCGGCCCAGCCTGCGGCCGCCGGCCGCGCCCCGGCGACTCCGCCGGCCCAGCAGGAGGGGGCCGCCTTGACGCCGTCTTCGCTGCGGCGCCTGCGGGATGGCGACAACACTGGACTCTGATATCATCCAGATTCTGGTGGATTTCGTCGACGATCCCAATATATTATGGCATCACCGACTGCTGCTCTTCGAGCTGGGGCCGGGGCGGTGGGTTTGCGCCACCCCGGATTTCTCAGTTCAAGTCATCGACTTGTCTGGGCACCGCGTGCTGCCCCTGGCGCGGGCGGCGCCGTGGCCGGCACAGGTGCGTGGCAATGTGTACGGCTTCGACCCGCTCACGGCCGACCAGCGGGACGACCTCTTCCTGCGGGGCGGCCAGCTCGCCCGGGTGCTGGGCCACCAGCCTGGCAACGTTGCGGCTGCCGCCGACCGCCAGTGGCGGGTCTCCGACACGGGCCACGAGAAGTTCAACGAGGTGGTCGCGGACGGGAGCATGTTGGGGGATCGAGCGGTCGTGAAGGGCGACACCGGGCTGTACTGTATCGACGAGGGCGCCAGCGAGTGGGTGTCCGTTCAGCGTGTGCGGGTCCAGGACCACGACGCCTGGCTGGAGAAGAAGCGCAGCGGCCCGGGTCGGGACCTGCGCATTCTTCCTGTGCATCGCGACGCGGGCGGCAAGAGAGTGATGCTGCTCCGCGAGTCCATCAACCTCTTCCGCGAGCCGAAGTTCCCCGACTGGCCGTTCGAGGGACCCTCGGCCGCCAAGGAGGTCTTGGGCGACGTGGCTGCGGCGGGACTGGAGCTCCATCTGTACCCGACGTGGTGGGAGAGCAAGAGTGGGGTGAACCCAGCGGGCAGCGTGGCGCGGGAGGTGCGTCTGGCCTTCGACTACCTGAGGATGCTCCAAGCATACGACCAGACAAACATGGTGTCCTTGGCGGCGGTGGAGCTGATCTGCCGCCGCATCGTCGTCTGCCAGAAGGCCGTGCGGCGGAACCCGAAGGCGCCGGACTTCACCGGCCTCGAGCGCTTCGTGCTGTCCAACTTCGACGAGTCAGGAGGACTCAAGACGACGGAGTTCGACAAGTACATGGCGGAGCAGCAGAAGGCCAGCGCCGTGGTGCTCAAGAGTATGCGGCAGGACGTCGAGGAGCAGGAGAACGAGAAGAAGAGGCAGGCCGGCCGCCAGCAAGGCGGCGGCAAGACGGGCAACGGCTAGAGAGACGTGGGGGCGGCGACGGGTCCAAGCCGGCATCGCGGGGCTTGGGCGGATCGGCGGCGCCCCCTTCCTCGAGGCCGTGTGCGGCCTCCACTGACCGCGAGTTTTTGTCATCGCCCTGCGATACGTTCCCCTTGCCGACGGGCTCCGCGTTGGACATGTTTGGCGGGGGTGATCGGGCGGCTTCGCGCCGCCTCCCGACTCGAGCGGGCGACGAGCCCTCAGCAGCAGCCCTCGTGTCAGACGCGGTGGCGGCGCTGAATGGCCTGGCGTCAGCGCGGATCGGCCGACCACTGCAGGCGCGGCGGTCGCGGCCAGCAGAGCGAGAGGTCACGTCGGCTCAGCAGTCGATTCTGGACCGTGTCGCGGAGCGGGTAGACGACCAGTTTCCTGCCCCTCCAGATGCTAGTTTTTCTTCGGCGCTTCCGGACCTCCTGAAGTGCGCGGACATGTATTTGACGAGCGAGTCCTCCAGCCGGGTCCCCATCCAGCTGGAGCGGCTCAAGATTTTGCAGAACAGCACGATGCCCAAGGAAGCCCTGGATGTGGTCGGCGCGGACGCCCGCAAGCTGCTGGCGGACCCCTGGCGCTACATCGAGCGGCGGGCCAACGACGTGGAGGCGGACGGTCCACCTCCTCGACCGTACACCGACCCCAGACTTCGGTTCAGCCGCAAGCTGATGAAGGAGCTCGTGCTCACCCTCCACCGGGGCAACCTCGTGGTCTTCCGGCCCTCGGTGAAGGCTTTCATCGGCCTCTTCACGGTTGTCAAGAAGGACGGCTGGTGGCAGCGGCTTATCGTCGACGCCCGCGTGCCGAACCATTGGCACCGGCGGCCGCCGCACTCGTACCTGGCGACGCCGGGGGCGGCCTCCGCTCTCGACCTGAGCGATGCCGCGCTGGAGCCTGGGGCCGCTGGCTCGCTTGAGCTGTGCGGCGCCGCGGTCGACCTGCAGGACGGGTTCTACCAGCTGGGCTTCAAGGTGATGAGCGACTGGTTCGGCATCGATTGCCGGATGACCGCCGCCGAGGCGGGGATCACGCAGGTCTTCGACGTCGTGGACGGGGTCGGCACCTGGCTGCCCGTCGCGGCCAAGGACCCCGTGTGGCCGTGTTTTTGTGGCGTGCCCATGGGGTGGACCTGGGCGCTCTTCATCTGCCACTCAGCCCTGACTGACGCCATGGTCGAGTCCCTCGTGCGCGTGATGCGCTGCGATCGCGGTCTGGCCGAGGCTCAGCTGCTCCGCGACGGGCAGCCCGCGCCCCGGCTGGCCAAGGGGCGCCCGGTCGCAGCGCCGTACGTGGACAATGGGAACTTGTTGTGCTTCGACCGCGAGGACGCTGCCGCGTTCTACGGCTCGATGGTGGCCGTCCTCAGCGAGCGGGGCTTCACGCTGCGGGACAACGTGGAGTGCGACGCGAACCTCGACATGGTGGGTTTCGAGCTGCAGGGCGCCAAGTTCGTCTGGAGGCAGCGGCGGTCTCGGTTCTGGCGTCTGTGGCACGCGCTGCGGCAGCTGGAGCTCCGAGGCGGCTGCACGGGGGAGGTGATGCGCATCATCCTCGGCCACCTGGTCAACTTCTTCATGCTCTCGCGGCCCGCCCTCAGCGTGTTGTCGCAGCTGTATGTTTTTAGCACTGAGAACCTCGGGCGCTACCGACGGTTTGACGGCCATGTTCGAGGGGAGCTGGTCACCTGCCGCGGCTTGTTAGCCCTCGTTCGCAGTCGGCTGCGGCCGCACCACTACCCAGTCGCCTTTTGCTCAGATGCCTCGACGCGGGGCTGCGCGATCCACAGTGGGCAGATCGACCCCCACCTGCTGTACGACGTCTGCCGCTGGCGAGAGCGCTGGCGATTCACCGTCGCGGAGGAGGACGAGGGGCCCGGCATCGACGGGGCTCAGACCGGCCTGGACGCCGACTTCCGTGAGCTGGGCGCCGACCTGGACATCGAGGACGGCGACTGGGATCGGAGGGGCGACCGCGCAGTTCCTGTGCGGCGCGCCCCGCGGGTCAGCAGCCTGGTGCCTGCCGAGGCCCTGCGGGCTGCCGAGCTCGGCCTCCCGCACCCCAGGGTCACGGGGGTCGTGCCCGCGCTGCCGGACACGCTGGTGGCGCCGACGCGCTGGCGGCGGCTTCTGGTTGGCGCCTGGCAGCGCCGCGAGGCGATCCACATGAAGGAGGCGAGGATCGCGCTGGTGGGGCTGTACCACGCCGTCCGGGACCCTGCCAGCCACGGAGGCGCGGTCTTGTCGCTGGGCGATAACCTCTCGGAGGTCCTCGCCACTGAGCGGGGCCGGGCGCATGACCCCGCCCTCAACTCAGTGTGCCGCCGGGCAGCGGCGGTCGAGCTCGGAGCCGAGGTGAGGTGGGTTCGCCGCTACGTGGAGACGGACCGCAACCCCACGGACTCGGACTCCAGGCTCGCGGAGCAGGGGATCCTGGCGCCGGGCGAGTCGCTGCGCGGGGGTCGCCTTGCTGCCCGGCTGGGGCGCCTGCGCGAGGGCGCGTGCCGCCCCGACCGCGTGCCCGAGGGCGCCCCGCGCGCCGCCGCGGGCTCGGCGGCGGCGCCGGCGCCTCCCGCGGGCCCCCAGCGCCGGCCACTGTGGCCTGGTGCACGGGGGCCATCGCATCGGCGCGACCGCGCTGGGGTGCTGGAGATCTTCGGCGGGAGCTGCAGGTTCTCTGGCGCGTGCGCGGCGGCTGGCCTCCGCATCCTGTGCCCTGTCGATGTCTCGGCCGGGCCGCACTTCAACGTTCTTTGCATCGCTGTCCAGCAAAAGATACTGCATTGGATTTCTCACGGATATGTCTGTCATGTACACATTGCTACCCCGTGTACCCGCTGGAGTGTAGCCAACACGACTGGGGCCCCAGACTCGGAAGGTTCGAGAGCAGGCCTTGGGTGCGCTGACTTCGCGGTGCGAGTCCTCAGGATGTGCCATCGGTGTGGGGTCTCCGTGTCGCTCGAGAACCCTAGGTCTTCGAGGCTCCTGAAGTACCCGCCCCTCGCTAACATCTTCGCGAAACTGGGCTGCGTGTCGTTCGAGTATCACTGTTGTCGCTATGGGGCTCCTTACCTTAAGCCGACCGTGTTCGTGACGAACGTCCCGTCCTTGGGTGTCATTGAGAGGGCCTGTGTGTGTACTGTATCCCATGAACGACTAAAAGGTAAAGTAAAGATCCCAGATGAGACAGGCAAGCTAGTTTGGAAATGGAAGACCTCGTTGGCTGGCGCCTACCCTCCTGGCCTCTGCCGCGTCGCAGCCCGAGGGCTCAAGGAGGCTCTCGGGCCGGGTGCCCTCCGCCGTGATGGCGAGCCGGCGCTCGACCCGCGCTAGGAGCGCGAGCTGGCAGCGGCAGCGGGCCTCCCACAGCCGAAGCCGCTCGAGGTCCCCTCGTGTCCACGGCGGTTTACTACTGGCTGGGAGCACGCCGTCGGGCACCAGCTCTGTGGCGACAGCGCGGAGCAGCGTCGTGTCGCCCTCCGAGCGCTGGGCCGCGCGGCTCGCGCAGCAGGCGGCCCTGACCAACGGTGGCCGGCCGCCGCTAGGCCTTCTGCTGCCGGACGGGGTCGACAGTCGTCCTCCGACCGGCGATCGTCGGCGGCGCGCCTCCACCAGACGGGCCGTGGCCAAGACGGTGAAGGTGTCCCCCGGCGAGGAGGGCTACTTGAAGCAGAGGTCGGTGGGCGGGGCCACGCTGCGGCTGTACCAGCGGGAGTGCGAGATGCTCGTGGCCTGGTGGAAGGCGCAGCGTCTCTCAACCGTGAGCACAGAGGCTCACGACGAGGCCCTGGAGCGCTACCTCGACAAGCTCTTCTTCGACGGGGAGCCCGCGAGCCGGGCCAACAACGTCGTCCACGCCCTGATGTGCCACATCGACGAGGTCTGGGCGAAGACGCCGCACTTCCCCCGGACGCGGCGAGCCCTGCGTGGCTTCCGCAAAGCCTCGCAGACCAGGTCGCGGGATGGGTGCCCGTGGGAGGCAGCGCTGGCCCTTGCCCATTGGATGGGCCGCCAGCGAACGCCGTTCATGGCGAACTCGGCGGCGCTCACCCTCGTGCTCTTCGACGGCTACCTGCGAGCCTCGGAGGGCCTCGGGCTGGGGCGGGACCAGCTCATCCCGCCGCAGGGCGGCCACGGCGCCAGGAGGTGCTGGGCCGCCATGATCTGCCCAGAGGAGGAAGGGCGCCCTACCAAGAGCGGCGACTTCGACGACACGGTCATCTTTGGCGACACCTCGGAGGCTCGAAGGCCGCTGCTCACCAAGATCCTGCAGGTGCTGCATCGGACGACCGAGGCGGGCGCGCTGGTGTTCGACGGCCTCTCTCTGAACTCGTGCGAGCGGGTCTTCCGGCGCGGGACCCTGGAGCTCGGGCTCGAGAACCTGCGCCTCACCCCGCACTGCCTTCGACGCGGCGGTGCGTCGACAGATGGCCTGGACGACCTCCCGATCGTGCAGATCCAGAAGAGAGGCCGCTGGAAAAGCCTGGCAAGCTGCAAGCGCTACGAGAAAAAGGGCCGCCTCTTGAAGCAGCTCGACCGCCTGAAGGCGGTGCCAGGCGTCCACGGTGAGACCTCTTTGCGGTGGCTCCTCACGCAGTTCCCTCGGATCCTTCAGAACCAGCGCGTGATGAGCTAAGGGCCCAACCCACCCACCCTGAAGGCCTATAATATGGGGAGCTATGGGAGTGTGGTGGTGCCGGCACCGACGTATTGCTCGGAATGCATGTTGTGCAACCCTCTTGTGATTCGGAGGCTCGTTGAGCCCGGCCTGGAAAATGCTAGCATTGTCGCTCGCCACTCTCCCATCTCTGTCATTTTCCTGGCGCTCCGCGCTTCACCGCCGCTTAGCATCCTGAACATATTTGTCTTTGACTGTTTTGTTCCGTGGCGGCGAGGCGGTCTCAGGCCAAAGGTCCGAGGGGGATCTTTGGGCGTCTCCATAGTCGCTCTGGTCCCCCGCCCTCCCACCCTGTTCTATACTCTGGAGTGTGGTGGTGCCGGCACCGACGTATTGCTCGGAATGCATGTTGTGCAACCCTCTTGTGATTCGGAGGCTCGTTGAGCCCGGCCTGGAAAATGCTAGCATTGTCGCTCGCCACTCTCCCATCTCTGTCATTTTCCTGGCGCTCCGCGCTTCACCGCCGCTTAGCATCCTGAACATATATATATATATATATATATATGTGTTTGTATGTCCCTATATATACATACATACATGTCTATACATAAATATATAAATATGTATATATACATATGTATATATATATAGATATGTATATGTATACATATATATATATACATATGGACAGCGCCCCTCCCCCCAGCAGCCATTCTACGCCTTCTTCCTTTTCCGCGAGGCCGGAGTCGCGCTGCTCCCCTCCTGTATCTTTTCCCTCTCCGCGCCTCTTCTTCTTCTTCGCTGAAGCCTTCCCCCACATCCGCTAGAGGCACATGTTCCACAAGCGCCAACGTGACAGATGCAAGCGTCTGCTTCCTCTACATAGAGGGGGGGGGGGGCAAGCGTGTGAGCCATCCTGTAGACGAGAAACCAGCAAACCCTTTGATGTCATTGGGATTCCTCTGATTTCTGGGATGCACATCGAAGAAACCTTGCGATTTCATTTGGATTCCCCATATTCCTGGGATTTCGCACCCTGGAGCAAAACCAACCTTGGGATCCCTAGGAGGCTCAAGGCTCAGAATCCCAAGGATCCAAATGAAACCACATGGTTCGTGAAGGCGGTGATGCGCAAACCCGACGATTGCATTGGGATTCCTGAGGTTCCTTGGGTGCTAATCAACGGAACCTTGCGAGTTCAGTGGGATTCCTGGGACTTCATACCCTCGAGCAAAGCCAACCTTGGGACACCCAGGAAGTCCAAAATTCAGAATCCCAGGAATCCAAATGAAACCGCAATGTTCGAGACGCCGGTGACGCGCAAACCCAATGATTTCAGCGGGAATCTTGGGATTCCTGGGATGCAAATCGACGAAGCCTTGCGATTTCATTGGTATCCCTAGGATTTCAAGCTCTGGAGCAAAACCAACCTTGGGACCCCCAGGAGGTTCAAGGCTCGGAACCCCAGGTTCCCAATGAAACCACAGGGTTCGCGACGTCGGTGATGCGCAAACCTTAATGATTCCGTTTGGATCCATTTCTGTGGTACACATCAACGAACAATTGAGATGTCATTGGGTAACCTGGAACAAAACCAACCTTGGGATCCACAGGAAATCCAGGGCGCACAACCAGAGGAATTTTAATGAAAACACCAGGTTCGAGACGTCGGTGATGCGCAAACCTGACGATTTCATTTGGATTCCTAAGGTTTCCGGGGTGCAAAGCAACGGAGCCTTGGAGAAACCGTCCTTGCGACCCCCAGGAAGTCCCAGGCTCTGAGCCCCAGGAACCCAAATGAAACCGCAATGCTCGAGACGTCGGTGACGCGCAAACCCCATGATTTCGCTTGGGTCTCTTGGATCTTTGGGATGCTAACCAACGAAACCTTGCCGTTTCATGCGGATTCCTGGGATCCTTGGGGCTTTATACCCTGGAGCAAAACCAACCTTGAGATCCCCAGGAGGCTCAAGGCTCAAAACCCTAGGAACCCATAAAACAATCGCAAGTTTCGCGACGCCGGTGATGCACAAACCTTATGATTTCATTTGGATTCCTGGGACTCAAATCAACGAAGTCCTGCGATTTCATTGGGATTCGTAGGGTTCCTGGGATTTCATACCCTGGAGCAGAACCAACCTTGGGACCCCCAGGAAATCCAGGGCGCAGAACCCGAGGAATTTCAATGAAACCACAACGTTGGAGACGTCGGTGATGCGCAAACCTGATGATTTCATTTGGATTCCTGGGGTTCCTGGGGTGCGCATTTTACGAAACCCTGTGATTTCATTGGGATTCCTGGGGTTCTTGGGTTTTTCAGCCACGACCTTCTGTGACCCAAGGGCTCGTGCTTTGTTTTCGCTCCAGGGTATGAAATCCCAGAACTCCCAGGAATCCACGTGACATCGTCAGGTTTGCGCACCACCGACGTCGCGAACCCTGCGATTTCATTGGGATCCCGGGGATTCTGAGTCCTGGACCTCCTGGGGATCCTGAGGCTGGTTTTGCTCCAGGGTATAAAATCCCAGGAACCCTACGAATCCCAATGAAATCGCAGGGCCAGGCTTCGTTGATTTGCATCCCAGGAATCCACATGAAATCATCGGGTTTGCGCATCACCGACGTCGCGAAACTTGCGATTGTTTCTGGATTCCTGGGGTTCTAAGCCTTGAACTTCCTGGGGGTCCCAAGGTTGGCTTTGCTCCAGGGTATGAAATCCTAGAAATCCAAGGAATCCCAATCAAAGCATAGGGTTTCGTTGATTTGCATCCCAGGGATCCCAGAAATCCAAATGAAATCATGGGGTTTGCGCTTCACCGACGACTCGAACCGGGTGATTTCATTGGGATTCCTTTGATTCTGCGCCTTGGACTTTCTGGGGATCCCAAGCTTGGTTTTGCTCAAGGGTTTGAAATCCCAGGAATCCCAAGAACTTCGGTGAAATCATAGGGTTTCGTTGATTAGCATCACAAGAATCCCATTGAAATCACAGGGTTTGTTGGCTTCTCACTTAAAGGATGGCTCACACGCTTGATCCCTTCCTATGTAGAGAAAGCAGACGCTTGCATCTGTCACGTTGGCGCTGGTAGAAAATGTGCCGCTAGCGGATGTGGGGGAAGGCTTCAGCGAAGAAGAAGAAGAGGCGCGGAGAGGGAAGGGATACAGGAGGGGAACAGCACGACTCGAGCTTCGTGGAAAGGAAGTAGGAGTAGAATGAGTGTTGTGGGGGCTGTATATATATACACACACTTATATCTTCGCTCCAGCCACAAACATGTAAATCAACTCTGGCACTCCCGAGCTATGCAGTCCTACGTCGACGACGCCACGCCAAAAAGAAGCCACAGCGACCAAGGTGACACAAGATATCATCACAGGCGCAGAGTCGCGCACGGCGCAGCAGTCCAATCAGCGACAACACCACGGGGCCCATAGGAGCAGAACGGGACAGCCGCCCCGCCAGCAGCCGCTTGCGCGTTCCAGGGTGGTCCATCTGAGGCGCAGACCAGCACGGTGGAATGACCGCCGAACATTACCCTCCCGATCGCAGCACTCTACGGTCGGAAATTTGTGGTTAGCGGCTAGCGTGTCGCTCCGCCGGCTTTGGACCACCATGTTTCGGCGCGACACGCTATCCACGCCGCGGTCCCCAGGCGTCACAGTCCGGAGCTTTCCCGGGCCTCCCGCCCCGCGCGACGGCGTAGGCCAGCCCGAGCGCCTCAAGCGGCCACCGCGTGCCCTGCTAGCGCACACGCGCACACAGGGAGGACGAGGAGACGAGGACGAGGAGACGAGGACGACGACGAAGGCAAGCAGGACGAGGGCGGCGGGAAGGGCCAAAGGATGACGAGGACGAAGAAGAGTGGCGAAGACGCCGAGGACGACCAGGAGGACCAGACGGGGACGACGGTGACGAGTAGAACGAGGAGGAGAGGAGGACGAGCAGGGCGACGAGGAGGACATGGAGGACGAGGACGACGAGACGAGGACCTTCCTCGATCATTCTCTTCGCCCTCCTCCTCCTCCTCGACCTTTCTCCTCCTCGATCCCCCCTGCTCCTCGATCCTCTATTCTCGATCCTCCTCCTCCTCCTCCTCCTCCTCCTCCTCCCCCTCGACCCTCGATCGTCGATCCTCGAGGATCCTTGGGGGGAGGCCCTCCGCGGGCGACGGCCGAGGCCGCGCGGAGCGCAGCCGCCGCCGCGGAGCGGGCCGCCGCCGAGGCGCGGGGCGACGCCGAGACGGGTGCCGAGGAGGCGCAGGCGCGCGCGCGCGCGGAGCCGCCCGCCGATGCTCAGGCCAGAAGGAAAAAAAAAATCCTGGCGAAGGACCCAACCATATGCAGTTGCGAATACCGCAATTGTGAATACCATCTTCGCCCGCGCTCCCTATGTGGCCACGGCTTCCCGCCGGAGCCCGACACGCTCAGGGACACGTTCGTGGCCGTCTTCGCGGGCGCCGACGACGACAAGGACGGCGTCGGAGGAAAGGGGGCGCGGATTGGCGACGGGCCCCGCTTCCACGGGAGGTCGCGGAGCTCCGCCGCCGAGCGAGGCGGCACCGGCCTGCAGTCTGTGGGGAGGGCACCTCCCCCGATCCATGGATCAGGCGACGGCGCGCCAACTCCATCCATGGATCGCTAATCCATGCTTGCGCGCCTCCGAGATGCGCCGCCTCGCCGATGGCGCGAGCCGCCCTTCGTCTCGGAGGCGCCGGTTGGGGCGAAAAGCCCGGGGGGGGACGAGGGGGGGAAGGACAACACCTGTATCCCGAGGCGCCGATGGCCCGGCGAGTCTCCCCGGCGAATGTACGTGTCGTGCCCGCCCCCGGGCTACAGTCGAAATCGATGGTAAGGAGGGGCAATCATCCCCAATGACACCCACCTGCATCTGCTGAGTATGCACCTATCCGCCGTGAACTTGTCGATGAGCACGAGTTCTTGGCCGGCGCAGCCTTCTCACCATTTGTGGGTCACACGTGCGTGCACTGCACATGTCGTCGACGTCGTGCGCATTCAAAACATACCGCGTTTTGCACCTTCCCGTTTACAGTCGGCACTGGAAGGATGAGCGGTTTACTCAGGGTACCCTTGCACACTTGCCTCTTCGGTACATCCGTGACCACTCCCGATGGCCAGCCCCGCTCGAAACGCTTCGAGATGGGTGCACATCCTCATCGCGCATCCTTACTACGGTGGGGGCGTTGATTGAGGAATGTGCCCAGGAGGCTCCAGACCCTGAAGGATTCCTTATCCGATGAGGGGCGGCGTTGATACCCATGGTCAAGCCTCGATTGGAGTTCCACGGGCTTCCAGACTCTGGATTCCTTATCCAATGGCTCTTATGCCAATGCCCTCACCGTACCAGTTTTGACCGTAGTCGCGGATGTGGATTCGCGAATACAGTGCTGCGACGACGCGTTGCGTGCGGGACCGCGGGCATCAGGCTTGCTCTGCGCTGTCGTGGGGGCGGGTGGCGATGTGCAGTGGCCGTGCGTGCCGTTTCACTGTGCCGGCTGAGGCGCGTGAAGGCACGAGGGGAGTTCGGAGGGGGGAGAAGCGACGCCAACACCACCAGGGGGGCCACCTCCAGCGAGGAGGTCCACGATGCCTCCCCGAGCTGGAGGCCGGGGATGTCTCGAGCGAGAGGGGGGACCACTTCACCAGGGAGACCTCCCTTTCTCCTCGCACCTCCTCGCCCCGGTGGTGCTGGTGTCGCCATCCCTCGTCCCTGGGAGCTGCGCTCGCCTGGAAACACGGCCTTGCGGACTGGCCTCGCCTCCGTCGTCGCCGCCGATCCTCCGCGCGCAGCTGCCCGCTCCGCGGCGCGGGGCGCCCCGGGTCCGAGCCCCCCCCCCTCGCCCTCGCCCTCGGAGCGCGGCCTCGGCCTCGGGGTGCTCGCTCCGGCCTCCTCCCCGTCGTGGCGCGGCGTCGTCCTGCCCTCTGCCGCCCGTCGTCGTCGCCGTCGCGTCGGCGTCCTGGTCGGTTCGGCGTCGCTGCGTCGCTACGTCGTCGCCGTCGGCGTCGTCTCGTCCTCTTCCGTTGTGGACCCGGGGGCTTAAAATTCTCCAGCAGTGGCGAAGCGTCCTGGCTCGCCGATAGCCCCACTGAAGAATGTTCTAAGACCCTTTTTGTGGTTTTCACGAAGTGTGAATAGAACATGTCTGGCTGGGACGCTTGTTTTAACACATTGGGTTCATGTTCTAAGAACAACGCTTTTGTTATTAGAACATGTTTGGGTTCTAAGAACATGTCGTGGTAGGACTAGACTATAGGAATGCCAGGGCGGTCGGTCCCTGCTCAAAACTCGTCTCGCGTTGCGAGCGCTTCCGCGGCGGGCCGCGGCGGCGCGCGCGGCGCGGCTTCGCTGCTCCCATGGACCCTCTGGCCGCCGCGCGGTCGGCTCGCGCGCTCCGACTGCCCCCCCCCCCCCCCCTCCTCCCCCTCCTCCAGGGGGGAGCAGGGCGCCGCCTCGCCATGCAGAAGACATCCGCGCGGAGCGTCGGCATGTTATGCCGGCTCCTCCTCCTCCCCACTCCTCTCCTCCTCCTCCTCCTCCTCCTCCCCCTCCTCCCCCTCCTCCTCCTCCTCCTCCTCCTCATCGTCCTCCTCCTCCTCCTCCTCCTCCTCCTTCTCCTCCTCCTCCTCCTCCTCCTGGGGGGAGGAGGCAGAGGGCTCGGCCATCGCTTCGCCCTCGGGGTCATCGCTTCGGCCTCGGGGTCATCGCGTCGTCCCCGGCGGGCCGGCCCTGGCCGGCCAGCGGGTCGGGAGGACGGGAGCCAGGGGGGCGTGTCGGCCCCGCGGAGTCTCCATGACGGCATGTTACCTTGCGCCCATCGTGCTTGAGGATCACATCCAACAATTAATTTCGAGCGCCTAGAAATGTTCGACTAGACGAAAGAGTGACCTTTCGCCGGAGTGACCTCTGGCGCGGGCCCAATGGGCCCCCCCCCCATCGCCGAACGCGATGTGTCAGTAGCGTCTTGCGCGCTCGTGGTTGGTCCCCCCGCGGCCCCCAAAAGCCGCGCACCAAAGGTCACTCTTACCCAGGGTCACTCTTGCGTGTAGTCGACTTGCTCCCATCGTACTTGAGGATCACATCCCACGATGAATTTCGAGCGCCTGGAAAAGTATCGAAACAGTGTCTGCCCGACATGCTGGCAAAGTGTCGACCCGCGCCCGGCACGTGAAAAACCCTCTGGCTTCGGTATTCTCTTGATGCCCGAAGTTCTCTCTGGCGATCAAGGCTACAGCATGCTGGAACATCACATGCGTTGTGTTCGAGCCGATCCGTCGGATGTCGCGGCCAGGCCCGCACTCGGCGGCTTAAAGGATGGAGTGCCTCAGACACTGCAAATCCACCCTTGGATCCCTTCCTGTCCTCAGGACTCCATCCCTCGGGACCCCATCATTGAGCCACCGACGCACCCCCGCCGCCGAGCGCCGTGCTCGCCGCGACCGCCCGCGGCCGCCGTGGCGCAGGCGGCTGGCGCGCGCGCCGCCAGAGAGGCCTGCCGCGCAGAGGCCGCCGAGGCGCGCGCGCGCGGACGCCGGAAGCAGCGGCCCCACAGTTTGGCGCGCCAGAAGGCCAGAGGATGAAAAGGTACGGTCGGACCGAGATATGAGATCGATTTCGGTTCGGGGGGGGTACCCTGATGTTCATCGTGTTTGTTGGATGCCCTTGAGCATCCTTGGGGAGGGTATACCGTCGAAGGTTTCTCCAGTTTGGCCGGCGGAGGGTATCATGCTCTTGTCGCATGTTATTATGTCCTAGGTCCGGCCGTGCCAATTCCGCTGCCATTGCCTCGTTCTTGCCTTTGGGGGCCTCCTGGGAAGCCCTCGTCGTTACCGCTGGGGTTCGCTTCGAAGTTCGGGTCGGAACGCACCCCAGGACAGGTCCTGGGAGTAGCGGTATCGGTACCTGTTGGTTTCCCCGAGAAGGGGCTCGCTTTCGGCGCAGCTGGCCTCCTGCGGAAGCCGGCGGAAGCCAGCGGAAGTAAAGTGGTTGTAGGTCCGCAGGCCGATATTGGCGGAAGGCGGCCGAAGTCAAAGTAGGTCGGCAACGTTTTTGGATCCAAGTTTTCGGGAGTCTGCCAGCACGGTCCACCATGCGGAGAAGTGGTCCCGGCGAGAACTGGTTCATGAGGTGTTTTGTTTCGCGGCTTTCGGGTTGAGATAAGCATTCGAGGGTCTTTGGGATTGTGGGCAGAGGATTCGGGATGCAATAGTGATCACGGGGAAAGGCTTCCCTCAGGACCCGTCTTGCCGTCCTGCCAAACAACTCACGCCGACGCAGAAGTGATATGTGGATTTTCCAGGAGCTTGGACTTCAGGCCAAGGTTAGAGCCCGCCGAACGTATCCCTTCCGCCCATGCCCCCCCCTGGGGCCCCTTGAGCCCCCCCACACTGACACCCGACGGTAGGGCGGAAAAAGGAAAAGGCAGATGCAATTTTATTCGTCGCGACCCAGCCATCACGTGCGTGACATGACACAGGCTCGCGTTATCTGAATCCCTTCGCCTCTATCAGACGAGGAATCAAGCCCGCAGCGGGCGGTTGCATTCTTCAGCAATCTGGTGCTGATTTACCGTTTCTGAACAGATCATTGTTGCTACTCCTTGGTGCGCCTCACTTGGCAGGGATGGCGGGGGGAAGATACCGGCTTTGCCGAATGTCTATTATTTCGTGTCTATGGTGAGCGGCCGTGCGTAGCTAGTGTGGAAGATCAACACTTGGAGGGGCACGGTTAAGTTCGTCCTTGGCCTGGCATGGGGGCAAGGTCGTAGCTTCTATAAGCGACGAGACACCCCACAGCAAGAGATGGCGACGAGGCGGCGACGGGCGGGCACTTGGGCGGAAATGCGGAAAGCATTGCCAGCGCACGCGGCTGCGGCGACGAGGCGGAGACGCGGGACCACTGGGCGAAAGCCCAGAGAAGCCGGCCACCGAACGGGGCGACCGCCAGGCGGAGACAGGCTGGCGCAAATCCCAGAGCAGGTAGATGTTTGCCCAGGGCGGAGATGCTGGCAACTGTCCCTGAGCCACAGGCACCGTATGCGAGGCGGGCACTATCCTGCGATACCGAACGTTGTCGTTCGCGCTGTTCGGTCAGGCTCTGGAATGGGCGACTTCCACAGCGACACTTTCGACGCCGTCTCCGATGCATGCGCATGCCCCGACCGATTCGCTGGCTCTGATGGCGGCCCTGAATCCAACTCCGACTCCCCCTCCAACATCCGCTCGGGCTGTGACCCCAGCTTTGACACCTGCGCCAATTCTGGCACCGACTCCCGTTCGTTTTCCGACACCTGCTTCGTGTCTGGCTCCGACTCTGGCTCCACCTCGGTGGCAAGGGCAGTCGCGTGTACAACTGGCATTTCGACACGTTGGCGGGCAGCTGAATGAGGAGGGACATGTTTACAGTTTGAGATCACCCCCGAGATCCAGAACATTCGAACGCACGTCATCCAGTACTTTTGCGTCTACCTCTTGCGACGCCCTGCCAGTACCCTTCTCTGGATTGTTACGTCATTCTTGTCTGCTCGTGTGGGCCCCCGTTTGAACGCCGGCTGAATGCTGGTTTGCGCGCGCGCGATCCTCTCGTGTTGTTTCTCCTTTATTCCGCAGCTGGTACAGGGTAGTGTTGGGGTATACGTTCGGGTGCCTCGCTTCGGCCATTTACGTCGATTGATTTCTTGCCCCCCTTTTCCCCTTGCTGCTACCCTTCCTCATCCTGCTCCTTGGCGTCCGTTGTGTGCTTATTTAAAAAATCCACCGTCAGCCAGACGAAGTGAAGCATGGTGGGCGTCGTGAAGCTTCGTCACAGTTTCCTGGCCGCTTGTTGGCTGTTTCTTGGACAGCCTCGGGCGCATGGGATGCCTCCAAGTGTCCGTGTGCGTCGGAGGAATGATCGCCGCGCAGTCGCTATTCCGCGCATGGGGCTCACTTATCTTGCGTTCCTCAGGAGTGAGCACTGAAATATGTATGTTGCGCGTCGCGCATGAAGCGAGATGCTCCTGAAGTGACGTCGCGGATGATCGATATGACTTTCTCCTCTTGGGTTTCGGACAATGAAGGATAATGAGGAAGTATAGGCGTCCGTTGTGTGTTTATACAGATGTTTGGCAGAGCCATCGGGGATGCCCACACAACGCATTTGTCTTTTCCTCCTTTCTCGTCCCTCTCCTGGTTCCTCTGCAGCTCCTCCTCCTCCCCCTCTTCCTCCTCCTCTGCATTTTCAATCGCACACAGCATTCGCATTTTAGTAGATGTTAGTGTGCTGCCCAGCCTGACGGGTTGCGTCATCGATTGTTACCCCTTGTTCGATACCATCGGTCCGTTGGGGGAAAGCACTTGCTGTCAAGGGAAGAAAGAGTCCCTCAGTGCAAGCTCTGCTTTGGGAGTTTGCGTAATTTGAAGGAAGACGGCGCGATAATCAGAGTAAAGACACCGAGCGATCTTACACCATCCTTGGGTGCGTTGGTGAATTGGGATTTCGTGGCCCGGATTCTGCTTGTTGTCGTCGTCGTCGTCGTCGTCGTCCCCGCGACCCACCCGCGACCCACCTCGCGACCCACCCCGCAACCTCCCCCGCGACCCACCCGCGATTCACCCGCGACCCACCCACGACACCCCGCGCCGGTCCCCTCACTCGTATCCGAAATTACGGGGTGCTCCGTAGCAGCCAGAATTCCCCCAACAGTTCTTGCACCAGAGGTTTTCTGGAGCCCTGTGACGCGCTAGTTGTTGTGTTTTCTCAGCCTCGCTCGTGTGCTTTCTAGCTGGGCCTCTGTTGCTCTGATTTGTCGTTCTCGTCCTGGTACCCTTCAAGTGATGTTTTATGGCTGGTGCTCTGCAGTGGAAAAGCTGGCGCTAGTGCACTGCTCAAACAAGCCGGAGAGCGAGGGAGGGTGGGGCGAGTACAACACATCCTTGCATATCTTATTCAAGGCTCCAAGAGGCCTTGGTGATAAAACCTAAAGCACACGACAGGCGTGGCGAGGAGCGAAAGGCGAGGGGGTGGGGCAAGACGGCAGGACACAGCTCAAGCAATAGTTGCATACAGGATGTGGCGGATTATTGGTATCATCCGTAGTACTACCATTAGAACTACGATTAGCATGCACATCTAACTCATAGTATTCATAGTAGCCGTAGTAATCGTAATAGTAACTATATCAATAACACTACTAACAACCGTGTACAATAATCATAACACGATTGCGAATATGAATAATCATACTATTCGAATTTCTTTTCGTAGTCATATTATTTCTGACCGCGCGACACAATATTTCGAAGCTTCTTGTCACGATCCGTGGTAATCCTCCTGGCAAGGCGCAACTGACTTCGCATCCCATTCCCATGTCAAACGTGAGCGCGACCACAGCGGCGTCCAACTCGTGACGATTCGCGTATCCCCACCAGCCCGTCCAGCAAGGATGCCCAGGCAAGTTGCATTGATCAGGGAAGCGCGGGAACACGCAGTGGAACAAGGAGGGAGGCAGTTGTCAAACAGACGATGGAGATCTGCCTGAACAGCTCGAAGAGCTAACCATAAATGCAGTCGCGAATCTTTTGATACAGGAGCCCCTTGGCAGCTCACCTGGGCCAGATTGGAGGCCCGTTGGGGCCAGTTGGGGAGCCCTTCGGTGCCTTGTTGGGGCCCTCGTGGGGCCATCTTGGATGGCATAGAGCCCTCTTGGAGCTATCGTGGAGCCCTCCTGGGGACTGGGCGCAGCCTTGGAGATCTCTTGGACCCCTCTTACGGCCGTCTTGGGCAAACTTGAAGCCACCTTGTGTGGCCCCACGAGCCCATCGGAAGCGAGAAGGTGAGAAGGCACAATACACTGTTCCACCTCAGGGTTTTGAAAGGATTTGGGGGCATCCTTGGGAGGCTCCGTGGCCACTTGGAGTCGTCGTGGAGCGGTGTTGGGGCCTCTTGGAGCATGGTGGACGCCATCCTGAGTGATCTTGCGCTATCTTGAGCCATCTTGTAGGCCATCTTGAGTTCTCTGGAGCTCTCTTGGACGCTTGAACGACCCGCCGCCGCCCCCGCCCCCCCCCCGTCAAGACCCCGGCAAGACCCAAGGAGGGGGTGCCGGGAGAGGTCAAGTTCCCAGCGGGACCGCCGCAAGCTGTCTCGCTCACTCCCACCCGCCCTCCCACTACATCCACTACATAAAGCAGCTCCCAGTTTTCAGGGGGGTCGCCATCGACAACATCTAGAACCAGTGCAGGCGCCAGCCAGGTGCGCGACTTCCGCGAGTTGCGCGTGCTTGTGTAAGTCAGCGGGCGCAAGAGTGCGAAAGCGGTCAGGCGCCGGTCGGGCTACAGGCGAGGTGCGCCGCACATGCCGCTTGCGCCACGCGCACCAGGTGCGTCACATTGCGCAAAATGTGGACTCCCCACCATCCCTGTCACAACCAGTGCACAGTGACGGCGGACTTGCCAGCATTGTGTATCGTGCGCGGGCGCAAATACACCTTGCACTCGCGTGTGACAGGGATAGTGGGCCTGCACGCAGCGAGCAGTATGCTGGCCCCATCCGCCGTCCCGGTCAAAAACCTATGCAAAGTGATCGCGGAGCGTCGGCGCATTGTCCAGATGTTGGTGCGAAGTGCTGTATGGTTCCTGTATAAGGGATGGTGGGCGGGGGTGGCATTGCACACAGCAAGCAGTATGTCGACCCCGCCACCATCCAGATCTTGGTGCAATCTGCACTTGTTGTTGTTGTTGTTGTGCAAGGGGTTGTGGTGGGGGGGAGTTGGCAGTGTCCCCGGTTTGTCGCCTGTCGGCTGGGGGAGGGGGGTGTTTACTAAGAAGGAAAGGTGGTCTAGCTACCCACGAGGAACAAGCCACCTCGCTCACTCCCACCCGCCCTCCCTCTGCGTAAGTAGCACCTGAGTCTCACTATAGCCAGAGGGCGCGATTGACAACCATCGTGAGTCAATGCAGACACCAGTCAGGTGCACGACGCAAGGTGCGCCGCACATGCCAGCTGCGCCACGCGCACTGTGCGCGCCACTTTGGACAACATGTCGACCATCCCACCGCCCACGTCAACAATCATTGCAAAGTGACGACGGGGTTGCGAGCATTGTGTATTGCGTGCGAGTGTGCACCCTCATCATTTTGTATTCGTCTTGTTGACATGGGTGGTGGGATGTCCCGCGTGCCACATTCATACTACATTAGAGTTTCGAATCGCACTGTTTTGAGCATGGCGGAGCAGCGGCCTTCGAGCGAGCAAATTTGTAGACAGCAGATGCTTCTCGTACGCAAGCTTGCGGGACGCCCCAGCACAGACCCGGTGCGCATGTCCGTGTTTGAACCTGGCAGTTTTGACATACGATCGCCATCAGGACCTCGGAAAAGAGGTCGGCCCCGACAGAATTGGCGGTGCAGCTCGAGCTTGGGCGTCGGCCGTGCGATTGTGGCACATGTAATACCTTGTTTCCCATCTCTGCTAGCGCACCGTCTGGCGCAAGGCTTCTGACCGACTGACTGTGCTGACATGGATGGTGGGCATGCCGCCGATGCCCCGCTCACTCCCATCCGCCCTTCCATCTCATAAGCAGCACCCTGGTCTCAACAGAGGCAGGGGCCGCCATTGACAACCATCGGGGGTCAATGTAGATGCCAGCCAGGTGAGCGAAACCCGCGGGGTGCGCCGCAAAGACCAAGTGCACCACCCGCACCAGGTGCGGCACATTAGGCAATACGTCGACCCCGCACCATCCCTGTCAAGAACCAGCGCAGCGACGGCTGGTTTGCTAGCATTGAGTATTGTGTATGGGTGCGCACACCCAATCATTTTGGATTTGTTTTTGACGGGGATGGTGAGCCTGCACGCAGCAGGCAGTACGCCGCCCCTCCTCATACCCCGCCGTCTCTTGCGAAGTGACTCCGCATGTCCTGATCAATGGCATGGTGGGTCAGCACGTAGCAAGCAACATGACGCCCCCGTATGCATAACCAATGAGAGTTGATCGCGGGGCGTCTGCGCATGATCCAGATGTTGGTGCAAAGTGCACTTTGCTGTTGTGCTTGCAGGGGATGGTTGGGGGGTGTTGGCGTTGCAGTCAGCAAGACATATTCCGCACCCTTCGCCGTTCCTGTCAAAACCAATACCAATTTATCGCGGGGGGCCTGCTCATGATTTTCGCTTCTGGTGCAAGTCGCAGTTCGTCCCGTTTGTTGCAAGGGATGGTGGGAGGACGCTGGCATTGCACACAGCAGGCAATACGCCGGAGCCCCCGTCGTCTCTGTCAGCAAAGCATGCAAAGTGATCGCGGGGCGTCCGCGCCTGGCCCCAGAGTTCTGGTGCAGAGAGCATGTTATATTGTTTCTGTTGCAAGGGCTGGTGGGGGTGCGCATCGTGCCGGGTTTGTCGCTGGTCCAGTGGGTGAGGGAGGAGCACTGACAAGCCCTTCCCAGAAGGGGAAGAAAGACGGTTCGAAGAGGACGAGCGCTAAACCACTTCCGCTTTGGAGGGCTGGTGGGATTCGAGACTCTCTGCACCCACTGCTCGGAAGTCAAATGCGCAATGCATGCTGCTAACAGCCAGATCGATTTCGAGGATTCCATGGATCACATGTGGAAGCCATTTTCTGTCAGTGTTCGGCGGGGCTTGTCGTGCCACATACGCATGATCTTCTGCCAGCGTTGCGACCAATAGCTGCCGCAAGTGGGCCGACGACGTGCCACAACCATCGTGGAAATTAAACATCCGCCTTGTGCGACGAGTTATTGCGCGGTTTCCATATAGCAGCTCCGAAGCACACCACTGATGTCACGACGCGACCAACAAAATTCAAGGCAGGCAGCGAGGAACACATGGCAGTCACTCGTTATCGCTATGTCTGCAAACCAAAGGTTTCGTTGGCGGATGTCAGGTGGTGCTCCACGTCCCGATGGCGTGCCCCAGAACCACCAACGACCAACATACATCTCAACCACTTGACCCGGATATTTCGGGGCAGGAGACCCAAATAGGGAGAATGCTGCCCAAAAGACAGGCCCACAGTCCTCGATCTTCGACTCCTGAACCTTGACGACGACGGTCTGCGAACGCTACCCCGGTGGGTTCAATCCACGCTGTGGTTTCGGATGCCCCTATAGGGGATCACTTGGCTGCAAACTCGCCCGCGAGAGCCCGAGCACGGCGGAAGTACTCCAGGTCCCGCTCCCCTCGGGGTCCCTTCCCAGCACGGCGATCGCCGCCGGCCTTCCGCCAAGCGTTCGCGAGGAGCACAGGTGTGAGTGCCCCCGGGGCGGGGGGGTGGGAAGTCGGCCATTCTAAGAGGGGCGAAGGGGCTTCTCACAAGGCGAGGGGGCTCTGAGTTTCTGAGGAGGCGAGGGGGCTTCTAAGAAGTCCGTTGGAGCTCTGAATTCCCGCCGGCGTTTCTCTGCCATCTGACCCGCAGGGGCAGGGTCCACGCGTGTGGATTGCTGCCTTCGCCCCGCCCCCTCGGAGGGCGTCACATGCATATATGCAAACATGTTCATGTGCTTAGATGCATACACACATGTATGCATATATATATATATACACGCATACGCACAACTATGCACATACATCTATATATATATATATATAGCATGTTCACGTGTCTGTAAATATATATATGTATATGTATATATATATATATATATATATATGTACGCCCACACCGATCCCGGCTGGGGCGATGCTGGTCCCAGGATCGGTGCATATGCTCGTTCTTGGCCGAGTTGGGGCGAAGGGCAAGGGAGGGGTTACGAAATTTGCCGCATCCCGCTACTTTCGGCCCCGCCGCCAGGCCCATTCCTCAATACATGGGCGCCTCCCGGTGCCAGGAGGCGCCAGCAAAACCAGCCACGTGAGCTGATTCTCTACTGTACCCTTTGCTATCCTACCCTTTCGTTCCCCCCGACGGACGTGGGGCCCAATCCAACCGCATCACGAGGACGAGTGGCTCCCCCAGACGACGGCCCAAGGCGGAGCTGGAGAGCTTGCGCACGGAGGCGAGGTCTGCGGCGGACGACGCGGACGGCAGCAGGCTCCGCGGGCGCGGCGGGCGCCGTCGTCCTCGCCGTCGTCCTTCTCGTCGTCGTGGCTGGAAGAGGTCAAGGGGGGGTGAGGATATGCTAGGCGCGCCCGCCCAGCCTTTCATTTCGCCGAGTTCGTTGGTAAGTATTTCCGCGGGATGTCATGGATGGCTTCCATCCTATACGTGATCCCGCCGGGCAGTGCGCAATGAGAGCGGAGGGCCTTGCACATCAGAGCAGGAGGAGGAGGAGGAGGAGGAGCAGGAACAGGACCAGAGTAAACCCATTATGCATCAACGTTTCTGCAACCCGCCCTCCCGTCCCAGGTCCCCCCTCTCATGACTCCTAGTATTCGTTGCGGGAGATGTCTGCGCCCGGTGTGCCTGCCACTCGGGCGAGACCTTGTTTCGTGAAGGGTCCATTCCCCATCCTTCCAGCTCAAGGCAGTTACTCGACGCGGAGGTATCCGTATGTGCATGCATTAGTTCCTGACACTTCCCGCTCTGAGTGTCTGAACGAGAAAGCTTCAGCCTGTAGCGACTGAGCGCTCTCTGTTGTCGCCTTCTTTGGAGCTGCGCAAACGCCATGCCTGCTACATCAGGAAAGGTTTGGGAACTTTGACAGAGGCCAAAACAAGAGTGTCGCTTGAGACGCCCACGGGCATGTGTCCTGAGAACGAGCAAGTGTAACACCCCTGTGGCGGCTTCTACATGGCGTGCCCAAGTGCCTCGCGTTGTACATTGCGGTGGTCACGGGGTCTCAACGCAGAGGAGATGGGCTGGAGGGGCAGAACGAGCGCCTCGCTCGAGACATCCTCACACTATTGTCGCGAACGGGGAAGTCCTTCTTTCGCGGGTCCTCCTTGGCGTGCTCAAGTGCCACGCTTGCTGCTTCATGTTGATCATGCAGCTTTCAAGAGAGAGGGGTCGAATGGGCAGAGCGAGCACCTCGCTCGAGACATCTTCACCAGCTGGGCGCGAACGAAGAAGTGCTCCCCTTCCTGGCGGCTCCTCCCTGGGGTCCCCGAGTGCCACACGTGCTGAATGAAGGCGGTTATGAAGTTTTCACAAGTGAATGCGGAGGGGCGGGGCTTGAGTATGAGCGAGTCGAAGTGTGATTGATCAGACTGTGAATGGTTTGTGTGTATCTGTACGAGTATGAGTACGACTCAGCTGGGTAGGGCGCTGAGTATGAGCGGATCTGCGTGCGACCCCCCGCCCGCCCCGCCCGCCACCCCAATACCACACCCAAGATTTCACAGTTTCGGCTTCCGAAACAACACCCGGTGTCCCACAGCCTATGTCCCCCAAGAAACACCCAGCATTCCACGTCTGCCTGGGGAGGTGGCGGCGGCGTCAGCGTCCACGAGGACGGCTCTGGGGTTGCCGCCTGGGCCGCCGATCGCGCTCAACACGGCTGGGCGCGTTGTCGCGCCAGTGGGGCCGCCTGCAGGTATTGTCGCTGCCGCCGCCCCGGCCCCGGCGCCGGCTGAACCCGCCGCAGGCGCGGTGGGCGGGCTCGCTGGGCTTGCAGCGGCGCTGGGGGGCAGTCCTGGCGCTGGCGCCGCTGGGGGGGGCGCCCTGGTGCCCGCCGCCGCCGCGCCGCCCCCAGCCCCCGCCGCTGCCCCCTTTCCCGCTGGCGGCGCGGCCCTTGGTGCCGGGGGAGCTGCTGCGGGCGCTCTGGGAGGCACGGCTGTTGCGGTCCCGGCACTTGCCGCCGCGCCTAGGCCAGCCGTAGCCGCCGCTGGAGGCGCAGCCCTAGGCGGCCTCGCGGCAGGGCTCGCGGCCATCGCTGGCGCTCCAGGTGGTGACGCCAGGATCCACACGGTCACGCTGGATACGCAGGGCGTGAGGTACGTCGACGTCCGCGCTGCCGTGGTCCAGGTCCACGAGTTGCCATGGGGCGACTGGCCTTTCAAGGGCCCACGCACGCTCCTGTGGGTGCTCAGCTTCATCTGCCGAAATGGAGGGACGCCCCTGGGCCGTCACACCAAGTGGGTCGCGGAGGGCTACTTGGAGGCGGACGCCCCAGGGGTCGACACGCACCTCCTGTGCTGCCGCCTGCTGGAGCTCGGGGTCGTCTACGACCAGCTCCACGTCACCAACCTGGCGGCCATGGAGCTGGTCGGCCGCACGCTTCAGACGCAGGAGGAGCTCTACCGGGACAGGTTCGCGGCGTCGTCGGAGTTTGGCTCGGACGCTGCGCTGATGTCGGGTGCGCTGGACGCTGGCGGCAACGCGTGCGTGGCGCCGGCCCTGCGCGACTGGCTGGCGTCCGAGACGGCGCGCGAGGCGAGCATCGCCAGGGAGCGCCGCAAGGCGAGGGAGGAGCGACTCCTGGCCGCCGGCGGCAGCAGCAGCGATGGCCGCGGCAGAGGCGGTCGCGACGGAGGACGTGGCCGCGGTCGCAGTCGTGGCAGAGATGGCGGGAGGGGCGGCCGCGCAGCCCCAGACGGCCATGCCTGAGAAGTGCCGGGGGGGGGGCAGATGGGCGAGCCTCCCCTTGGGACCTTGGCGCGGCCCTGGCCGCAGGCCCTCGGCAGCTTGGGACGCCGCGAGCGCGCGATGTGCTCCCACTGTCGACCCCGGCAGCAGCCAGCGGCCGCTTAGACAAAGCTGCTGGCCGCCGCTCTGCTCGCCGCGCTGGCCTGCGCAGACATCGCGATGACAGAGTACGCGCCGCCGTGAACGCACTTAATTCACTCTATAGCTCTCGGTCCTCGTCCACCGTGGCAGCTCACAAGGGGCTGCGCCAGTCCATCATGCACATCTCCGACAGCGTCGACGAGCTGGGAGCCCCGCCCGCGGAGTTCTGGTCCGCCAGCGCTGGTGAAGACGGAGCCCTCTGGGAGTTCCTCTCCTGCGCCAACCTGCATGGTTCCGGCGCCGCTACGTCAGCCCCCTTCGTCAGCGACAAGGTCGCGCGGCCCTCTGTCGGCGCGGCGCCCGTCAACATCGTGGACGTGGCGCAGCCCGCGGACAAGGCCTGGCTGGAGGACTGGCGGCGTCATATGCTTCGCGATCGGTGTGCCGCAGAGGCTTTGGCAGATTCCGCTTGTCCCAAGGGACCGTACTGCAACTCTGCCTTGACTCGCGATGTGAGCACGCACGGTCAGTTTTTGATACAGATGTTTCAGAGGCAGATGGTGACCTTTTCGCAGCTGACAATGGTCAGCCGCACACCGTCGGCCTCCTCTTCGTTCCAAAGAAGACGGGGGCCCTCCGCATCATCTTCGATACGAGAGCCGCCAACTGCAGGTTTTTGGACTCGCCGCGTACGAGACTGCCTTCGGCGGCATCCTTCGGCTCGTTCGAGGCGCCGTCGGGCGGCATGCACATGTCCACGCGCGATAGAGTGCGCCTTCTACCACGTGGAATTGCCCGAGGGGGATGGAGGAGATGTTCGCGCTGCCGCCCATCAGGGCGGGTGTGCTCCGGGAGCCGGGGCTTTTCGGCTTCGACTTCGACCCCGCCGTCAACGTGTCGCCCCAGGTCGCGGCGCTGCCGATGGGCTTCTCGTGGGCCCTGCATCTGCGCCAGTCAGCAGCCCGCGCCGTGCTGGCCGAGGACGGCCACAGCACGGCTATGACGGCGCAGGACGGCCAGTCTGGCGTGGGCGCCACCACGCGTGGCTCAGTGGGCGTTGGCGCCCATGTCGACAACATCCTCGTGTTCGGCGGCAGCAAGGCCATAGTCGATGACACCGTGCGCCGCGTGGTGGACATGTTCAGGCGGCGCGGGCTACCAGTCCATGAGATCGAACCCGCCTCGCTCGATGCCGACTTTCTGGGCCCCAGCCTGAGGCGCGGGAGATTCTTGCGCATCAAGCCTCGCAACATATGGAGGCTGCAATTCGCTATCTCAGGTCTCCTTCGGCGTGGGTGGTGCAGCGGCCGCGTGCTTCGAGCAGTGCTGGGCCACGTCACTTGGTCGTCCATGATCTGTCGGGAGGTGTTGACCGTCCTCCACAGCGCCGGCGGCTTTGTGGCAGCCTATGGCGAGAGGCGCGGCAAGATCTGGCCGGCGGTATCTCGGGAGCTCAACGTGATCAGGGACCTGCTGCCCATCCTGACTTGCGACCTGTCAGCAGAGTGGCGCACCGTCCTGACGGCCGGCGGCGCCTCCCTGTTCGGCTTGGGAGTCATGCGGAGGCGGGCCCCGCCGCCGCCTGCGCGGCGCTGGGGCGCAGCTCCGAGAGGTCGCGCTATCGCGTCGAGGGCGGCCACCAGGCTCGGCTGCGCTCGCTTCAGGCCGGAGGAGTGGATGCCGAGCGGGGGGGCCCGGACAAATCAGATGTCCTTCCGTCGATTCAATCGTCCAACCATGCTGTTCAGAGCTTCAGTACTTCTCCAGATCGTGCACCTAGTCCTTCCTCGGATCATCCTTCACGCCATGCGAAGATAGTCTATTTTGCTGATGTGTCTCATGTTGAGCGACCTTTTGAGGATCGATCTGCACCCGCTGTCGCTTCTAGGCCTCTGCCGCCCACCGTGGATCCGAATGGCGTCTCGGGGGGCTTCGGGGGAGGTTATTTACGAGGGCATCTCGGGCAAGGAAGTACACATCTCGGATGAGGACGTCTTGGGCAGTTGCGCTTCTCGGCGCAGGGGCCCCGCCATGGCAACTTCAGAAGGCTTGGGGGATCTCCGTCGCGGGCCCCTACAGAGCTCAACGCCGCGGCCAGTGCCAGGTTCTGCGTGGGCCCCTGGGAGCTCCACGAGGCGCCCGCTCATATAGCGAGGGGGTCTGCTTGGAAGAGCGTCAGCGCCCAGTCGGTGTCTCTTGGGGCCGACATCCTGCATTTGGAAGGCGAGGCGCTCGTGACGTCGCGCAGGCATCTGCTTCGTAATATCTCAAGCCATGGGAAACGAATGGCTGCCTTAGTTGACAACTTGCCGCTGGCGCTTCCTTGTGCGAAGGGAAGAGCCCGATCGAGGTGCTTGAGGTCTTGTCTCAATCAGTTGTGCTCGCTGTCGTTGGTTACAGGATCCAAGCTCAGCGCCCGATGGATAGCCTCAGAGAAGAAACCCGTCAGACTCCCTCAGCCGCGGCAGGCTCGGGTGGTGCAGTGGGCACCGTGAGCTCAGCCATGCTCGCGCCCGCGCCCGGCCGGCGGCGAGATTCGGTCTCTTTACAACCAGAACAACCACTTTACAACCAGATGGGTTACTTTACAACCAACATAGGATTGGAAAGTTTTTTTTTTTTTTTTTTTTTTTTTTTTTTTTTTTTATATATATAAAAATCGAGCACGTTCACTTTGCAACCAGAACGGCCCACTTTACAACCATAACGGACCACTTTACAACCAGAACGGGCCACTTTACAACCAGAACGGACCACTTCACAACCAGCTCAGAGTGGCCGTGCGTGTTTGGGCGTTCCGCAAAGTGCTCCAGAGCAAGTGGGCGCTCTGAAAAATTCCCCAGAGCAAGTGGGCGCGCGGACGCTCTGCAAAGTGATCCAGAGCACGTGGGCGCTCTGGAGCCCGAGCGCCTGAACTCTCTGCGCAGGCCCCAGCGATGCTTCTGAGCCCGAGCGCCTGAACGCCCCGCGCAGGCCCCAGCGATGCCTCTGAGCCCGACGACCTGGACGCTCTGCGCAGGCCCCACCGATGCCTCTGAGCCCGAGGACCTGGACGCTCTGCGCAGGCCCCAGCGACGCATCTGAGCCCGAGCGCCTGGACGCTCTGAGCAGGCCCCAGCGATGCCTCTGAGCCCGAGCGCCTGGACGCTCTGGCGCTCTGAGCCCAGCAGACTAAGACAGGGCTTGCTAGCAGGGGCCAAGCGGCCTCAACAAGGGCCCCGTGCTCGCACGGGAATAAGGCGACAGCATACGTAGGAAGGCTCAGGGCGACGCGCTGCCCATTTTAGGGATCACTCACAGGAAGCGAGCCCAGTGGCCTCCACAAGGGCCCAGCGCTCCAGGGAACTAGGCCATTGGCACCGCGGGTCTCTTGGGCCACGTTGGCCCCTGAAGCCCCACGGTGTTCTGCAAGGGGCTAAGTGCTCCAGCTCCAGTTGGCCCCCTGCTGCTCCTCGTCTTGGAAGATCGAGGTTCAACGTTCCGAATAAATGCAACTATTTCGAAGATCGTTCCTTCCAGCGTCAGCCACAGTGCCAGCGCAGCAACGCAGGTATCCTGCTCGGGCAGCAGCCTCAGCCACCGTGCCAGCGCAGCAGCTTGAGCCACCGTGACAGCGCATCACCGCCACCTTTGTGCCTGCTACCACCACACTTACCGCTGCAGCCCCGCTACCTCCACAATTCCGACTGACCCCCCGCTACTGCCGCACATCCCATTGCAGCCCAGCTACCACCACAGTTCCCACCGCTGCCTGGCGACCACCACAGTTGCCACCGCAGCTTCCCAACACCACGCAGTTCCCATTGTAGCCCCCGCTACCACCACATCTCCCACTACAGCTTTCCACTGCCATGCAGCTCCAGTCTTGGACGGGATCATGGTTTATTCGTATGTCCTGCGCGACTAGCCTTCGCCCGTCAGAAAAACAGGCAGAGCAAGCAATGGCAGAACTGACCGACAGAGCTTAGAGAGCAGGTCAAAACTCGAATCCGCCCACCAGCACGCAACATACCATAGCGCACCAGGTCGCCGCATCGCCAACGCGTGCGCAGTGCTTCTTCGTGCGCGATGGACAACTTTACAACCAACATGCCTCAAAGAGCCCAAAGCCACCCTTGCGCTTGCCCACGGAGATTTCAGGGGAAGGCCCGCGTGCATTCAATATGTGTTTTTACTTGCCTGGTTGTAAAGTGCCCTTCCTGGTTGTAAAGTGCCCTTCTCGGATTGTGTAAGCTGGTTGTAAAGTGACCCATCTGGTTGTAAAGTGCGCTTCTGGTTGTAAAGTGACCCACGCGCGCGGCGGCCCCTGGGGCTCCTGGTCCACGCGCTGGCGGCCACGGCGCAAGGCATGCCGCGACGCGGGGCCCGCCCGCCCTCGGCAAGGACGAAGCAGCGGGCACAGCTGGCCGCGCAAGCCGCGAGCGGTCGGACCAGCTCCGCGGCGATGACCCTGTTGGAGCAGCTGGCGGCGCGGCCGAACACGGAGGCCTTCTACCGCCACCTCCTCCACAGTTTCGTGAGTTACTGTTCGAGCCGCCGCCTGGACTGGAGCTCTTTGGCCCAGCTGGATACCATACTGGCGGAGCACTCACGGCGCTACCTGGAGTGCTGCAGCGAACATCGGCTCACAGACGATTGCGGCGATCTCCCACTTCACCCCGGGGCCCCCGAGGCAAGCCGGCACGCTCCTGCCTCGGACATCTCGAGCGACGCAGGCCTGGAAGCGGCGAACGCCGGCCCTCGCCAGGCCGCCGATTCCGAGAGCGGTGATGTTTGCCCATGGGGGATGTCGATCGCCTGGCAGCAGCCCCAGATGGCCGCCTGGCTGGCCATCAGCTTCTCGGCTTACCTCCGCCCGGCCGAGGCGCAGAGGCTGACCGCAGACAGCATTGTAGAGCCGTCGGCCCAGGCGGGGGTAGCCTATCATTTCTGGCGCCTGCTGCTGCACCAAGCGGGTCGTGGCCAGGCAGGCAAGACGGGGGGTCCTTCGGCGGGTCGATCCTCTTCGACCTGGACCTCTACCTCGCGCCTGTTCTCATGGCCCTCTGCCTGAAGGGGCGCGCAGGGACATCGCTCCGGAGTTTCAGCCTGGCCCAGCTGAACCAGTACTTTGCGCCGGCCGCCGCGGCGCTAGGGATCGGCCATCTCCGCCCGCACTTGCACGGGGCGCGGCACAGCGGCGTCAGCGACGACCTCTTGACACAGAGGCGATCGTTGGAGCAGGTGTTTCGCCGCGGTCTCTGGGCGGTCATGTCCTCGATGCGGCGATATGCGAAGGAGACAGCCCTCCTTCGAGAGCTCCAGGGAGTAGCGGACGACGTCTTCGCGTTCGGCAACTTCGTGGAGCAGCACTTCTGCGCGTTGCTCGAGAAGGGCTTCGCCGGGGCGAACATCATGCACCCGGTGCCACCGCGGCTCGCAGAGGCGATGCAGGCAGGCCCAGGGACAGGAAGCAGGAGGGTGCGCCGGCGGCCCGCGGCGCGGGCGTGAAGCCCGGCGCCGCCGCTGGTGGCGAGCCAGGGGCTCGCGGGCCTAAAGAGGCTGCGCGGCTCCATTTGCGGCGCCGCTTCCGAGAGCCGGTGCAGCGCGGGACGCTCTGCAGGCGGCGCGTCGTGCTCGAGCTGTCCTGCGTGTCCAGCCGCCCTCGCCAATGCTCTTGCCAAGGTAATCAAGCACGTTGTGATAGGAAGGCCCAGGCAGACCTTTGCCAGTCTCGTATGCAAATGTTCGAGCTAATGAGATCCAGGACATATTCGAGCGTGTTTTTC